ACATACATACATACATACATACATACATACATACATACATATATATATTTATATACTTATATATATATATATATATATGTGTGTGTGTGTTTGTTTTCTATATGTTTAACATCTTTTCTGTCCAATTATATATATATATAAATATATATATATAAGTATGTAAGTGTGTGTTTGTTTGTATATTTATATATCCTAAACTACTGTACATTTTCTCGTCACAATAGGTCGCAATGTGGTCAGCATCTTTGACCGCATTGGTTATAAGTGTTTGGAGACCAAACGAGTGCAGCATGAGATGCTGGCTAGTCCTTCGGGAGGCGAGGTTTCCACAGTCAATCTGAACGCTCTTATGAGCAAGCAAGCCGAGAAAAGGAGCAAATGCTGTTGAGTATGGGATAAAATCGCATTCACCTGGGGTTGATGCATGTCTTCATATATATATATTTATATATATTGCGATGGCGACTGGCGACTGGCTACTGGCGGTCGTAAACCGTCGTTTCCATGGTTGCAGGTCCTCGGCACTTAGAAACTAGTCTGGTCAGAAACCACTTCTGTGATAGCACTACTACGACGCCCAGCCGCGCCTCTCCTAGTTTTCCCAGTGGTCTCCACAGTACACATGACTTCTAAGTTCTAGCTGCTATCTCGACGAGGCTTGGGTATGTTCTGGTGAGAGGCTTCGCAGAAATGTGGTTCAGCTGGAATTGGCCAATGAGATCGCTTTGTAGGGTGCGGCACAAGTTTGCGGAAGGGTTCAGGGTTTTCGGGGGCAGGATTTTAGACATGTGACTTGTGAAGTGTCTGGCAAGACCCGCTGGAGGCAGGAAGTATAAAATCATAAATTCGTCGCCGGAGGAGGGGAATTAATATTTTCCTGCTCCGTCTGCTACAGGGTCATGCTTCCAGCGCCCTAGAGAGGTACAGCTTCCGTTGACTATGCAAATAGATACCGATGAGAATGTAATTAGATCAACGTGGTACCGAACTGTTACAGTTGGCGTGGGAGTGAGTGTAACACTGTCAGACGGTTAACGCCCGTACCACTCATCAACCTTCCTGTATCAGTGGCTTCAGTGCGTATAATGCTTTGTAAGCTGTTATAGCACTTTGAATTAAATACGCGAGCTCTTACTATTTAGTAACTGCCTCTTGCTTACACGAACTTGTAAAGGTTTTAGAGAAACTGTCTTTGAGAAAAACACAGGTAGGGCTTCTACACTGATATATTCAAGTATAGTTGGCTACAATTCTGCTGCGGCGTGTCCTTACCTCGGCCTTTCCATAGATTACATAGCACAGTAGCGATTAAAGACCTTCAAATAGGATTGGATTCGCTGGATTGAACACAAAAACTGCGCACCCACTTCAGAAACATATACCAAGATGTGTGTAAACATCCTGCTCAACCTTCGAAGTCAGACAGTTGTTTACCTCATTTGAAACAGAGCCAAACATATCAATTTGTATAGCATCACATAGAAAACGTTATACAACAGGGAACGGAGTTTGACGAAGAAAAATTATCACTGTTTATACCTTAGGCTAGTAGTTTTTTTCGGCCGGCAACACGCAAGTTGGATACTTTCACTTCCACGCACAATACGTCAATATATATATCCTTTACTTATAAAAGTGAATATCATAACATACACACAAACACAAACACACACACACGCATATATATATATATATATATATATATATATATATATATATATATTATATATATATATATATATATATATATATATATATATATATATATATATATATATATATATATATATATATATATATATATATATATATATATA